GGCCTGTGCAACTTGTTTGAAGGTACTGGTCATCGTGCCGTCGCGGTTGCTCCTGGAGCAGTTCGCTGCAGAGTTTCCAACTTTCTGCAAGGTGGGCACCGGCTACAACACGAATATCAACAAAAGTGCTTTGGGCTTCATTGCGGTCTCAGACTCCGTGCATCTACTGGAGAAGATCGATATTGAAGCCGTTTTCGTGGATGAAGCCCACCATCCCCTACCACCAGGGATGCCGGGGACCGAGGAGCTCTTCCTGTTTTCAGCGACACATCGCGATACTGCAGATTTCGAGTACAGCATGGGCAAGGCTGTAGAGGATGGAGTTCTTTGCGACTACGACCTGACCGTGCCTTTTGTTTCAGGCGGTCACGCCTATGTAGGTTTGGCACATCTCCTGCTGCATCATCCAGGCCGCTTCAGGCGAGTACTTGCATACTGCAACACCGTGAATGAAGCGAAGCTTGTCCAGCACGCGTTTGAAGAAGTTGGCATGGCAGCATGGCATATCAACGGGCGTACAAACCCCAGGAAGCGGGAAGAGGTGATGCAGGCGTTTTCTGGAAGAATGCAGAAGCCAGTCCATGTTCTTGTGACAGTACAAGTGTTGGGGGAAGGTGTGAACATTCCCAATGCTGACACATGCATGTTCGTGGAGCCACGAGACAGCTACACCAGCATTGTTCAGGCTGTTGGTCGTGTATTGCGTCAGCACACGGCCAAGCCACTAGCTCACATCATTCTCCCTGCAGTGACTCTGCCGGCAGAAGAGCACACTCTCGTAGGTGGTGGCTTGAATGAAGCAGGACTCATGGGTTCATCCAGTCATGTTGATAGCTATATTCAAGCGGACAGCTATGGTCAGGCTTCCGGTGCACATCCTCTCAATCGGAGCTTGCTCGTTGGATCCACGACAGCTTTTCAACAGAGCTCATCTGTCACCGATGCGAACCATGAGGAACCACACCGTGTCATGGATTCGGGCTCGAAGTCGCACTTCCGCGAAGTTGCTTCAGGAAACTTAGAGGGAGTACGTTTGAGAAAATCCGATTCGGAGGTGCCCGCAAATTCCTCGCAGGAGGCCTTGAGGGCTAGCTGCCCGCGTGTCGTGGATGTGCTGCGCACATCAGAATATGGTCCACACACCGACGAAGCTGAAGATAACTCCGAACATTTGACAGCATTGGATGGATCAGGAAGAGCTTCGGCTGAAGCACGTGCTGCTCGAAAAGCATCGACGGCTCGGCGACAGCCATCCTTGTGTTTGAAGGACGACTTGAAAGCCCGTGCGGAGCATCGCATCGAAGAAATGTTGCAAGACCTTCATGTGCCGGACAGTTCTGCATTGTTTCGAGCTGCTCCCGGCAGCGTCAACAGCGGTCGCATCACATCAACTATCACGGTAAGCGCCCTGCAATCCCCAAGTCTGCCGGAAGCTATGCAACGCAGAGCCGGCTCAGAAGCACCGTTGACACAGCTTGTCGCGACTTACCATCGAGTGAAGCTCTCGGGGATCTCTGGCGCTCAAAGAGACCAGAGCTTTTCGCAACTTGAGCGTTTCTTGTCCGTTCTCAGCCGTGCTGACAGCCGATTGGCTGTTCCTCACTGGAGAATGCTAGGGTCTCGCGTCTGCCTGGTGAATTGTGGCTCTTCAGCAGGTATCGACACTGCCACCATACAAAGCTGGTTTCGGCTGCTAGCACCGATTGTGGGGAATCAGGACCCATTTGAAGCCAGAATGCAGCAGTTGGAAGATTTCGTGGAAAAGCACGGACGGCTCCCATTCGCAA